AAAAAACTGCTTCTCTCTTATTTTCTGACGATAAGGTTAAACCACAAATGGTAGTCAATGCTTGGCTTCCTTAATTTTTTTTTTAATAATTGAAACGATCAATATCATTTTGGTCAACATTGTTGTGTATGGCAACATTAAATTTATCCCAGAATGTTTACCATTCTAAAAATTTACCCTTAAAAATTGGAAGTTCAATTTTTGGTAATCTACAATTAATTTTATTTTTAGAACTCTGTTCAGAATTTTTATCAAACCCTAATTTTAAAGATTCTAACCTTAGATTTATTTTAGAAAGTATATTGTGAAATGAATCAGTTATTTCAACACTCGCTAAAACATCCTCCTTAAACTTATTTTGATCAAGTATAAAAGTTATTTCTTCATCAATATTATTTAAATTTGTATGAGAGTCACTCAAACTGTTTTTTGAAGCTATAAACCTATACTGTGAGGTGTCAGGGTCTTCTAACGCCGGTAATAAACAACAAAAGCCGTATATAATAAAACACTTTTAACACTTATAATCATGTTTTTACTTGATAAAAAAACAGTCACCGTCTTACTCAAAATTAAAATAAATAAATCATATAAACAGCGCAAGATTTTCATAAAATAACTTTAGTCAATCAAATACTTATTATTCAGCCATTAAATACTCAATCACAACTCGAGGGTCTAACTTATTGAAAACACTTTTAAATGATGACTGTCAAACAATCACTTTGTTCATCCAATTTAAAACTAAACTAAGGCAACTTTTTTTAATTAAATTACATTATTTAAATTTCTTTTAAGGCATTAAATAAAAGTACCCTTATGTATTATTTTATATGATAATAAATACATATAAAAAAATGAAATCAATCGTAAACTTTTACATGATTTAATTTAATCTTAAACATGTATTATTTAATAAAATAATGTCCTAAGACAAAATTGTAACTAATTTGTAAATAAAAACAAGGTTTTATATATTTTTGCTTTCACTTTCTTGATAAGTGCTTGCATTTAGGTCATAGTGTTTTTGCCACAATAAAAATTTAACAATTTAGTGCTACACTGAAACTTATTTTTTATAAAAACTTAAAAAAATTTAAACATTTCTTTTGTTGTATTTGAGGTCAATAAATTAAAAAATAAATATAATCTGATTGGCAAAGAGTTTTAGTTTTTTTTATAACCTGAAAGGGTTAGTAATTTAATAGTATAAATTGGGTTGTTCGCCGAAAAACAAAACTTGCGAAAATTTCGCATCTTTATCTACCGTAATAAAATTGTTATTGCGGAAGTTGCACATGCAAAAATGCACATTCTGTAACGCGCTATACAAAAATATAAATAAATAAAATTCCGTAATAAAGCATTGCGAAAGAAAACTTGCGAAACAAATCATTTCGTAAGAATACTTACGAAATAGATCCTTTCGGAAAAAGCATTCCGGAATGTGTAGTTACGAAAAAGACGCAAAAGATTTTATGTTACGATATATTTAAGATATTAACTGTTAACAGTTTAAATAATAAATAATAAAATTATAAAAAAATGTTGTCAAATGATTCTTCAAATGTTTGTACAAATATACCTAATATATATATACATATATATATATATATATATATATATATATATATATATATATATATATATATATATATATATATATATATATATATATATATATATATATATATATATATATATATATATATATATATATATATATATATATATATATGTATATATATATATATATATATATATATATATATATATATATATATATATATATATATATATATATATATATTAACGGGACTTTACTGTATATATATATATATATATATATATATATATATATATATATATATATATATATATATATATATATATATATATATATATATATATATATATATATATATATATATATATATATATATATATATATATATAAATATATACACATATTTACCGTAAAATCCTGTTAAGTTGGACTCTCAATGAAAAGATGAACAGTATGGCTTTCTTTTTAAAAAGTATAAAGAGGATGTGTGATAAACAATTAAATACTTTTTTATAAAGAACGAGAGATCTCTCTAAAAGTAAATGATATCAGAAAGGGTAAAAAGAGAAGAGATATATGTGAGACAGCGGGATGTGAACCTGGGTCTACGTGGCCAAATGTCTTAACTGAATGAGCTATACGTTCAATCAACTAAGTGAATAGTAATGTTTATTTAATATATAATTAAGAAACTATATAAAACAGAATTTACAGAAAGAGATACGTATGCAAATAGGATTCTATATATCAGGAAAATGAATAGTAATGTGAACCTTAAGATGCTTATAATGAATATCTGGACTCAAAAACTAGTTACCTTTAATGGAACACAATAAGCTGTAGGAGCCTCAGGGAAATTATATTTAGAAATGGTTATATTAGACTCAGAGTTAGCTAGAAATTATTACAAAGTATTAAGGACAGATGTGTAGTACAAGAAGCAAAAAGATTTAAAGCAAAGTGATTTATATTATTTGAAAAAGTTGTTTTACGTACATTTCATCATAATTTAAGTAGATCTTAGTAAAGCAAGGGAAACGTGTACAATTAAGCACAATAAACTCAATCTTAAAAGAATAACTAACAGAAGAGAGGTTGTCACTATTGTGAAGGTGACTAAAGATCTGTAATATAGAACATGGAGGTCAAAAAATGCTATCTTAAGTAAAAAGAGTTTGATGAACAAAGTTACAATGGCTGCGGGATGCGAACCCGGATCTCTGCGGCGAATTATCACGTATCTAACTGATTGGACTGTACAGTCTTATACTCAAATTTATATCTTATTAAAATTAAAAAACAATATTTTCTAAGATCTATACTTCGAAAAGCGTATTCAAACAGGACTCTACATACCTTTAAAATCTGCTAGAACTTTAGTAACGAGCACACTTTTAGAAATTATTGAAATAGGTATATTTTATCAGAAATATGCTTAAGCTAAAGCATATTTTTTAGCCTCTTTTTACTATTTGCTTAAGCATATTCGAACCTGTTTCAAAAATTTTATATGCTTTAAAAAAAAAACATGTATATTCCTACCCATCATTCTTATTTTGAATATACGTAGTGAGTTCAAAAAACATCGTTGTATATATTTACTATGGCACGTTTCGTAAGTTTATTTCCGTTAAGAATTCTTTTGTATGTCGTGATCCGAAATACTTTTGTTTCGTAAGAAATTTTATTTTTGATCAATATTTCTAAAAATAAAACCATAAAAATTTAATAGTTATTATACTGAAAATAAAAATTCATTATAAACATTTTGGGATTTAAAGATGTTAATTTTTACAATTAAAATCCGTCTGACAAACAAATTTTCTTTATAGACTTCATAACGTCGTTTGGCAAAAATGTTTGTTTCGCAAGTGCGATCTCCGAAACCGCTACTTTCGTATGTTGCAAAAAAGTTTTGTTTCGTATGTCAATTTGCGAAATGCTAAATTTCGGAAGTGGCTTTTGCGAAATGAACTTCGGTGATTTTAAATGTTTTGTAACATTCGGTACAAAAAAATGTAATTCCGTGTTCTCAATCTCCTTACGAAAGATTGTTGTTTTTCCGGAATTGCACGAAATCCTTCGGTTAACAACCCTAGTATAAACCTATTACGGCATATAAAAAAAGAAAACTCGCAATTATTACTTAAGCAAAACATTTCAAAATGAATTAAGTAATCTGATCGATGATGTTGCCTTATATATAACATAAAACTATGCTCACAATCTGAAATATTTTTGTATCATTTTGAACAGTATACATGATGCTAGTCACCAAGACCAAATGACTTTAGTTTTTTAATTATGCGACATTAATAAAAGACTAGTAAAAACCAATAAGTACTTTGTAAGATATCTACCTATAAATAATATCACTAGTTCAGAATGCGAAAAATAATGCACACAAAAATTTAATATTTCCGTTTAAGTTTATAGAACTTTAGAGATCAAGGTGATAAGGAATAAAAATCAAAAAGCTGAAGTTTTTGTGTACAGAAATGAATATGAGAACTAAGTCAAATATCATTTTAAATGCCATTTAGATGACACTGTCTCACTTTGATTCTTGGAAACTTGGAAAATATTATATTGTTTAAGTAATACTTTATAGAATTTTGCAATAAGTATGTGTTTCCTACAAAAACACTTTTTTCTTATACAGCTGTTTTTAAAAACTTATGTATATTTTTAAAGTTATTCTAATCTGTTTGAGAAAAACTGTCTCAAGAATGTATAATCTGCCCAAAAAAGATATTTATCTAACAATTTAGCGCCCAAATATCTGCATTTTTCTAGGGTTGTTCGCCGAAAATCAAAACTTGCGAAAAGTTTGCATCTTTATCAACCGTAAAAGAAATAGTTATGCAGAAGTTGCACATCCAAAAATGCACATTCCGTAAAGCACTATACGAAAAAATAAGTTAATAAAATTCCGTAATAAAGCATTGCTAAAAAAAACTTGCGAGGCAAATCATTTTGTAAGAATACTTACGAAATAGTTCCTTACGGAAGTAGGATTCCGGAATGTGCAGTTACGAAAAAGACGCAAAAGATTTTATGATACGATACATTAAAAATAATAAATAATAAATCTTAATAATAAATGATAAAATTATAAATAAATGTTGTAAAATAATTCTTCAAATATTTATACAAATATATTTAATATATATATATATATATATATATATATATATATATATATATATATATATATATATATATATATATATATATATATATATATATATATATATATATATATATATATATATATATATATATATATATATATATATATATATATATTTATATATATATATATATATATATATATATATATATATATATATATATATATATATATATATAATTATATATAAATTTGCAAATCATCAAATGCTTTTTTAATTGTAAAATTTTTATTTTTCAGAGTTGTTTCGTAAAAATGAGGAATTTATTGTGACGAAGGGAAATCTTCTTAAAACATTTCCGATTTTTCCTATAGAATACAAAGTAACTTTTGAAGTTTTGATAAGCTCAATTTCTGATGTAGACAGTCAATGTTCTTGTGTAAACTTGTTTCGATTTACCAATGGTAGTGATGATTTAAAACGTTACGGAAATAGAATTTTATCTTTGTATATTACGTCGCCTGTACTAAGAGTTTTTCATTATTTTTCTATTAATGGTATCATAGATGAAGCAGATAATAGTTTGTTAAACACAGGATGGAAAAAATTTAATTTCAGTCAATTTTTTATTGATGGTGACTATAAATTTACTTTAAACATTGACGGTCAAACAATCTTATCAAAAAAAAACGATGATGCAAGAGTGTTTTATAATGTGGGCGTATTTTTTTCTGATCCTTTTTATGTTCCGCTACCTGCACGCGTCAGAAACTTTTTAGTAACAAAAGGATGTTCAGGTAATAATGTTATATTTTTTTTTTTATCAAATAATACATTTAGTTATTTAAAACAAACGATTTTTCAGTTTAGAATTATTATTACTTGTGGCTTATAATTATTTTCTTTTTATAAACAAACTCAGAATTTATCTTCTTTAATACAACTATTCTTTTTATTTTTACTCATTTGAAATGCACTTTAATCACTTTTGCATATTTATTTTAGTATATTTTAGGTTTTACCGCCTAAATGATTTTAAAAACTTAAGTTTATGAATAAACGAGAAATTAAACTTTTCAAAAATGTAATTTTTAGAAATAATACAGTAACAGAATTAGTTATGAATAAACGAGGTGTATAATTTCTTCAAAAGTGCAGTTTTTATATTATAAAGAAATACATCTTGTGATTTTACAAAAAAAGTATTTTATGTTAGATTTCCACGAAATATTTTTATCAATAATTACTCCAACAAACTAAAGGTTTTGTTCCCTTTTTATAAATGTTTTATTGATTCGTATATTGGCTTATTTTAAATATACTAAGTTTAATAAGAGGTTTAAAAACTCTTTTGATGTTTTTACAATCTAAACCCAATATTGATCCAATGTATATATTTCGACGTTGATTCAATGTATATAACTCAACTTTTTTTCAATATATGTAAAAACATCGAAAAAAGTAGATTGTTTTTACGATCTAAAGCCAATATTGATCCAATGTATAGATTTCGACGTTGATTCAATGTATATATTTCAACTTTTTCCCAATATATGTAAAAACATTGAAAAAAGTAAATTGTTTTTACGATCTAAAGTTAACGTTGATCCAATATATATATCTCAATATTGATTTAATCATTATTAATCAACGCTTTTCCAATTTTATTGTATTTACGAACTAAACCCAACGTTTATCCAATGTATGCGACCAAACAATGCTTTTGCGAAATTATGAAATTTAAATAAAATCTTCCATGATTATTAAAATATCAAACCACAAAAAACACAAACATGATTTTTTTTCAATGATCAAGCTTTGACAGCCTCACAAATATATGTATACAATCCTTACGTCAACTAAATATGTATATATATATATATATATATATATATATATATATATATATATATATATATATATATATATATATATATATATATATATATATATATATATATATATATATATATATATATATATATATATATATATATGTATATATATATCAAATAATTTTATTAAGAATAATATTGATTACAATGTTTTGCCAATTAACGTTCAACGTTGAATAAACGTAAATACAACATTGTGCCAACTTAAAATACAACGTTGGGCCAAAGTAAAATTTTAAAAATTAAATCAACGTAGAAACTTTTACCATTTTCCGACTTTGAATAAACGTTTTATCAACATCGATTTTTTTCTTGTGAGAGATGTCGTAAATGTAACGAAAATGATATAAAAACAACGTTGACAGCCGATATTAGGCCAACGAAACGCGCAACACAGTTCTAATGTTTTAGCAACGTATGTGTGCTAGCTGGGATGGCTTCTTGGAAAACGACGTTTATTAACTCATAAGCAAAAACTTAAAATAACGTAACGATTAATATCATGGTTTTATTACAGAATTATTTTTCATTGAAAGAGCTGTACAAAACTATTTTTTAATGAAAACAAATCAGGGAACTTGAAAATATCAATAAACAAATAAAAACTATAAAAACATTTAAAGAAATATTAAAGAGTTTTGATTCTTTCAAAGACATTCAAAAAAAAATAATGTTATATTATATATAAGTTATATTAATTACTTATACTATTGAAAAGTTTCATTTTAACTATGCTACGCTGGAACATAAATTGTCGATGTTTCTGGGTTTTCTTTCTTTATAAAGAAAGATACTCTAGAATTATTGTTGTACAACGGTTAATTAAATAAATGAATTTAAAAAAGATATTTGTAATAAATATAGTTAAGCTTGATATATTTATAAGAGGTAATGTTTTTTATAAACTTTCTGGAAAGTTATGCATAAAACGTTATTGCAATAAAACGCTAAAGATGTAATATGTTCATTTTACTTTATGTTTTTGTTGAACAATAAAAAGTAGATGTTTTCCAAATTAGCTTGTTTTATGAGTTTGTGTATAACATATTTCTCGCTTTAACTTATTATAAAAATATTTTGCATACCCGCTTGAAATGTGTTAATTTATAACCATCAGTATAAAAAGTTTCAAAAGTATGACTTAAATATGTGAAATAACGGGTAGACATAGCTTGTATAATACTGGTCATGGTATGTCTATTTCACTCCGACTCTTTTAATAATTTTTCTTTGTTTCAAGTTTTTTTAATTAGTTAATAAGTTTATATTAATTTTTTACAATTTTTTTTTTTTTTTATAGTTAATAAGTTTATATACCATTATAATATACCATATCATTATATATAAAAATTTTATATACCATCGGCTGGTTTTTTGGATATATTCATAGCTTGTATAATACTGGTCATGGTATGTCTGTTTCACTCCGACTCTTTTAATAATTTTGCTTTATTTCAAGTTTTTTTAATTAGTTAATAAGTTTATATTAATTTAATTTTTTTTTTTTTTTTTTTTTTTTTTTTTTTTTTTTTTTTTTTTATAGTTAATAAGTTTATATACCATTATAATATACCATATCATTATATATAAAAATTTTTTATACCATCGGCTGCTTTTTTGGACTCTAATTTCCTCTAAAATTAACGCCCCGTTAATTTTAGAGGAAATTAAAATTATCATGTGAAATTTTTTTTATATAAGAAAGAGAGTTGTCTCTTTAATGCGCAGTCTTAACTAAATACCAGAGATGTTAGTGCTTGGCCATGTCTTAAGGCCAAAAAATGAGGCATAGACCTTAAAAGTATTAGCGTTGGCCTTGACTTTGATTGTTTTGGATTTAGCCCTAACAAAAGGTACATATTTTCTTAATGATTTCGTTGATCTATTTTTACACAATGTGATTTTGTCACAGAACTCTGTTTCTTACATTTTTAGCCTTAACATGAGGCAAAAAGTGAAGTCTTTGGTCTTTGAAATGTTTGGGTAGGCCTTGGACTTAAAACTCTAAATCTTGGCTTTGATCTTAAAACACAATATGCTAAAAAAACATTGTTAGATATATTTGAAATGAAAGGGAAAAAAAATATTTTACATGACAAGAGGTAAAAACATTTTAACACAGCAAACCAATTTACCTGTAGCTGATGTTTTTCCAGGAGTATTGTTGAAAATAGTCAAAATCTATAAAAAATGAAATTTATTATTATTTATTCAAAGCCTAGGCCAACAGTATTAAGGTTAATGCCTCATTTTTTGGCCTTAAATTTAATAATATTTTCATTTAAGCATGAAAAATAAAAATAATCATGAGGAATTAAGACAAAGTTTTAAAAAGAAACAAAAAAATATATAAAGGTTGTGAAACAGCTATTGTTGCTACCCAGCGGACATTTTGACGTCCTAAGGACGTCCGTAAGTTGTCTTAAGTCTCGTCCGTAAGACATCCTTAGTTAGTCTTAAATGAAAGGCTTAAGGACGTCTATTTTAGACGTCCTAAAAACGTCTTTTTAAGACGTCCTAAAGACGTTTTATGCAGACGTTCTAGAGACGTCTCTGGCTGGTCTTAAAGACTTAAGGACGTCTTTTTCAGACGTCCTAGAGACGTTTGAATTTTACCAAGACATTCTTTTAAAAGTTATATAAAAACGCAATGATTTACAACACACAGCTTAGATTTGCCTTAATCTAGGCAAGAGAAGTTATTAAAAGAAATCAATGTAAAATAAAGTGTAGTTTGATATATTTAAAATAAATTAAAAACTTTACAAAAAATAAGAATATTTTTTCAAACAAAGTTACATTTTCCAAATTAAAAACTAATAGGTACTGTAGAATATAATCGAAAGTGCAATATAAATAGAAGAAAATTGCTTATAAAAATTTTTAAAAAAATAAATAAATACAACAGTTAATTAAGCCATCATTGATCAAAATCCATATAAGTGGATGTTCTCTTTATTCGGTCAAAAGAATGCCTACTTACCCTCCCAATAAGTTGGATGGCATTCATTTTAGTTAAGTTTTTATTTGACTTAAAAGCAGCTTCTAAAAAAAACAATAAAACATGTTTCAATAAGATCATAATAATGTATAATGTATAGATCATGTATAAAAAACATTGAAAATGTTAATGATAATTTAAAATAAATATTGTAATAATATATAACATATAAACTATAAAGATAAAACTCATGTATACAAAAGTATATATATATATATATATATATATATATATATATATATATATATATATATATATATATATATATATATATATATATATATATATATATATATATATATATATATATATATATTTTATATATATATATATATATGTATGTGTGTATATACATATATATATAAATTATATGTATAAATTCTTAAGCTGCATTTTATTATCATCGATATGTCAAAGCAATTAAATTAATGCGGAAGTACATTAAATTTTATTGTTTTTTAAAAAAAACCGCAATAAAAATGACTAGAATGTTATTTTTAATTAGTGGTGTTTTTTGTTTTTTGTTTTATTAAAAACATTTTTAAAACATGCGTAAGTGTTGCTACATCGACTATCTTATAGCCTGCTGCTACAAGGGAGTGTTGCTACATCAACTATCTTATAGCCTGACTCGCAACGGAGTGCTGTTACATCGACTGACAAATAGCCTGACTTGCAAAGGAATGCTGATACATCGACTGGCAAATAACCTGACTCGCAAGGGAGTGCTTCTACATCGACTGACAAATAGCCTGACTCGCAAGGGAGTGCTGCTACATCGACTGAGGGTTTGGTTTGGGCAGGTAGTCTACCATTAGAAAAAAAGTATTTTTGATGAAGTTTTTTTAAACATTTTCTGGTCAGGCTTATTAACGCACTCTTTAAAACAACAGAGAACGAC